CACTAGCGAAACTGCATCCCTTTGACAAAGTTTTAGAGCAGGTTGACGAAATTATATATTCAAAGAGGAATGTACATAAAAAATCGTTCAGTAAACGAACATCTCATACAATGTCTAGTAGAGATGAAAAGCATGTTAACCATATTGAAGATAAAAGTATACGAATAATGCAGAAAATTCCTGATTTAGTATTTGATGAAATAGGAGCAGAAATAAATATATCTAATGAAACTAAAAAAAATTGTTGCAGTAAAAAAGTAAATAGTTATGTAAGCTCAGAAATTTATAAAAATGTAGACACAGATTGTGTAAAATTACATGTTGATAAAAAATTACATAATTATAGGAAGACTACAGATAATAAAATACATTCTTTATTGGAAAAAAATAAACATTCCAAACATACAAACAGTGAAACTGTATTAACTGATACTGAAATAACAAAGATTAAAGGAAATCAGCATAAAAGGAAAGTGCACGATCAAGAAACTTCAAATTTTAAGCAAAGAGGAAAGATTCGTGCATGTATTAATGACCAGAAAGAAATCAACAAGCAAAGGAGAACAAATATAGAAAATAAATTTCGAACATTCTTTGGAGATTGTAAAAGTGTTAGCGAAGATGAACAAGAACAAGAAATATTGCAGAAAACATTTAAAAGAAGAAGAAAAAAAGATTCTGTTAATTCTTGTAATTCTGGAATGTGTACTGCTGAAAAAAATATAACTGGAACAGATATTTTGAAAGATGTTCAAGAAACTATATTTAACTCGATAACAAATGAAGAATCCAATGAAGGTATATTTGAAAGGACCATTACAAATACTAATACAATTTGTAACTTGAAGGAAGTTACAAATGATGAAAATATTCAAACTATTAATCTTAATCAAGTTAAAGATGTAGAAAATATTATAAAAATTGAAAACAATGAATTACAGAATGACACATATGTACAGAATGTTATAAAAAAAGAAGAGGAAATAATCAGTATTTCTGATAAAAACAATATTGAACAAAATAAAAATGCATCAAATGATACAGATATTTTGCAAATTCTTAAACAGTCAGAAGTAAGTAGTTCTGTAACAAGCATACAAACAGATAATAGTATAATATTATCATCTGTAGTACCAGAAATTTGTAACTCAAATTATCATGCAGCAGTTACAAATGAAGATCTTTCAGAATGTCAACAAAATAATTTAGATACAGAAGATTTTAATGAACTTCTTCACATGGGTTTTACTGAAATTTGTAAAATCACATCAAAAGGAAACGTTCTTAGTATTCAAGAAACTACCAAAGAAGTTATAAATAAAGATGTTGATGAAAACTCAAATTTGAAAAAATTGTCAAAAATACAAACTGACTATAATCAAAGTGTTAAAGAAATATCAACCTGCGCTGATAAAAATAATATAGATTCGAATAATATACAATTACCTATTGATAAAAATGAAAATTACAAAGTTACTATTACAACTAATAAATCCAATGTCTCAAATAATGCAAATGAATTACTAATAAAAGAACTTGAATTAAATATGTCAGAACGAGAAGACAATCGATCTAATAATATATCTCAAAGTAAATTAAGAGTTTTATCTAGTGCAGAACTAGGTTCCAGGTGGTGCCCTACACCTGTAAACAATATTATGTCTGTTTCTCAATTTTCATACACAAATGCTGTAACAGTATCAGAAGTACATTTAAAGAATACTACTACTGTTACAACAGTAACTCAAACAGTACCAATAACAGTATCTTCAATTACTGTACCTGTATCTATACCTACTGCCAAAACAACGGTTTCTGAAAATAAGAAGAAAAGTAATATAGATCCAAAATTTTCTGAATCTATATATGTCACTTTCGTAAAGATACGTAACTTAATTCAAAGTATACGTGTATCTTCAGTTACTAATTTAAATTACGATAAGTTATTATTTATGGAATTTGAAAAATTAAGAGAAATATTGAATACTGAAGATTATGTTGATTTAACTGAAGGAGTTATAGGTATACTTAACAAAGAATTGTTAGTAATTCCATCATTATCTTTAATAGAGTTGTTTCGTTATACACCAATAGTCGAGTCGTTTTATATACACACCTCAAATAAACATAAAATTGCAGTAAATAATTTTAATGAGCATCAAACTAAAATACCTACAATTGTTTCGAGTCAAATAACATCAAATCAAAATATGTATTGCAATCCACAAGCATCACAGAATATATGTGTTACATCTGTACAGTCTAGGTTGCAACATCTCCTTTCTATTCCTACGAACCAGAATCAATCATCTATAAATGTTACTTCTAAACAACTTCAACAGCATGTACAAGAAAATATGGTTTTACAATCACAGAACAATTTTGTTCAAAACAATATGTCTATGAATTCCACTACAATTAATAATCACAACACACAAGAACCTAATTACAAAATGCGTATGTACAGAAATCCTACTCAAGATGTTATTTCAAATACATATGTTACTAAACCTGTAACAAATGTATGTGCTATACAAGATTGTCCTATACGACACTCCTCATTTCCGCCTACTGATATTAATGAACTTGAAGGACGATATATCTCTGCACCAAATGCGTCGTTTATGAATCAACAGTATGTGCCGCAGAGCGTTTTTGTACCACAAACAAATGTATTTTACAATGTAAATGTAGCAAACTATCCCATACAGAAAAATTTGAACTCAACACATATAAATTTACACAATGTAGCTCAACACCATCAGAATACAATACATCGGCAGTCTCTTTATAATATGTCTCAAGGGAATCAGTTGCAAACAATTCCCCAACATGTATCAGCAAATTATAACATATCACAACCAGCACAAATGATGTTTGCATTGAATACGTCACATTCTATGCCAACGAATACACAACAGAAACATAAGAAAATAGTTGCACGTAAGACGCCAATGGAAGTTCCACAAAAATCTATGCCTGAACAAGTATCATCTCAGCAGTTACAAAATATTTACCCATTTAAAACCAAACAATTAATGCCTCTTGCAAAGAAAAAAAGAGTTACACAAATTTCATTAGATTCAACAACAAAACTATTTGATGTTCTAAAATATATTTCTCATATTCAAAAACTAATATTATTAAAACAACTGGATTTCTACTTTAGCTGCACGGCATGGTTACAACAGCAGTTTACATCAGGACAGTGGCAAAAAGTTTATTCACAAAGATCATTATTACTTCATCTTCAAACACTTTTAAAACATCTAGTAGAAAAAACTTTGAGTGATCATTTGGCAGATAAATTTCAAGTAAATACATTTGAGACAAATATACTTACAAATATTAAAATTGATGTTCCAAAAACTCTACAAATTATAGTAAAAGAAAATGAAGGAACATGTTGTCAGCTTGAAGTATCTAAAGCTAATCAAGAACAATGTAAGACAATGAATATTAATAAAAATTCTATAATTTGTGAAAAAAATTTAAAGAATACAATAACAGAAAATCAATGTGACAAAGAACATGAGACAATTAATAATCTACAAAATAAGGAACTTTCAAATCTAGAAAGACTAGTTGAGAAGACAGTAGTTCCATTATCAAAGGACAATTTTCTAGTTAAACCAAATTCACATATCTGTCAAACAACGAACATTATTGATGTCAATCAAAAAGTTAAAATAAGAAAAGAATCAAACTACTCTAAAGATATATACACTTCAAATACCAAAGAACAGATTTTAAATGGGACAGGGAATATAACTGAAAATGTTTCTCAAATACTTGAAAAATTAGTACCAATATCAGATACAAAAGTATCTAACAAAGATATATCACAACAGTTAAATCCACATTTAGTTACTGTAGAAGTTTCTTCTAAAAATGATCAAGTAATTGTTGTTAACACTGATGTTAGTGATGAAAGTGAATCAATGAATGAAGAATCTAAAGAATATGAAGAATCTAAAGAATCTAAAGAATATGAAAAATCTAAAGAATATGAAGAATATAAAAAATATGAAGAATCTAAAGAGTACGAAGAATCTAAAGAGTACGAAGAATCTAAAGAATATGAAGAATCTAAAGAATCTAAAGAATATGAAAAATCTAAAGAATATGAAGAATCTAAAGAGTATGAAGAATCTAAAGAGTATGAAGAATCTAAAGAGTACGAAGAATCTAAAGAGTACGAAAAATCTAAAGAGTACGAAGAATCTAAAGAGTACGAAGAATCTAAAGAATACGAAGAATCTAAAGAATACGAAGAATCTAAAGAATACGAAGAATCTAAAGAATACGAAGAATCTAAAGAATACGAAGAATCTAAAGAATATGAAGAATCTAAGAAGCAAGAACCTCATATTACCAACCATTTATTGTCTTCAGAAAATACCAGCTATGTGATAACATCTTCATCCAATCAAAATAATATTGAGCATTTCAATAATGCAAAATTAAACTCTTCATTAGAAAAAATTACATCTCATATTGAAGATGTTAGAAGTATATCACTAGAAGCATTTGAAAATATGGAAGAAACTGATGCAAATACTACAGAAGAGAACATTGAAGAAGCTGAAATTAAAGTATGTTTATTTTGTGGCAAACCTAGTACTGTAGTATGTTCAATTTGTTTGGAAGCTAAATATTGTTCTAAAGTATGTTCTGAATTACATTGGACAGAGCATTACAAAGATTGTATACTCGCAGAAAGGAGTATTTGTAACTGAGGCTTACAAATTGTTTGTTATTTTTTACCATAAAAATTACTCCCAGTATGACTCTGTTATGTTAAGCAGTATTGAATATTAATTTAAATTTTGTTTCAGTATGAGGTTAATATTGTTCCTTTTTTTTCCTAAATGATATAAATTATTTTTGTATAAAATTAAGAAGATAAAAAAACATCTACTGTATTTAAATATAAAAAAATAAACTTGATTTATGGCATAATACTTAAATTATTTTTATTTTGTGGCTACATGTGGCTTTTTATTTTATTGCCACAGTAATATAATAAATTGAATATGTACATATAAACTATTAATTTTGTTAAACAGTTCATTCTTCATACCCGATGCCAACCACATAATTTGTTTTTGAGTGAAAGAGTGAATGTTTACCATCTCCCCAAGGAAAAGGCTATATAAGAAATATGAAAATCAAATTATGTAACAAATTTACTTTAATTTAAAAATGTCTTGTTAGTCTCACCTTATTCATAATTTTTAAATATGGATAATGAATGAATTTTGGCAGTCCCTCACGTCTTACATGTTCCTCATGTTCCAGGTGTTTTTTATAACAGTAAATTCCATGAAGTATAAATAGTGGCAACATCACATAATGGCTTATTATGCTCATGAGTTTTTCAGTTTCTGCAATCACACAGAATAAGTCTTATGTAACATATATTTCTAATTTATAAAATAGAGAATAATCTTCAATTTTAAAAGATACTTTAAAGAGAATGAAACAAAGCATTAAATAAATATCGCAAGTATCTATAAGCTTTTCACATTAATTAATCTTTTATTTAAGTAAAAGTTTCTAAATCAAATTTTTCATAATTTACTTGGATTAGGAACATGTGTAAGTTGTTCCACTGTTTTAATATACTCCTTTCCATGCATAATTCCTCTAGTAAAAGTATGACCAAATTGGCCTAACTTCAACACTTTCGCCATTTTGTGATCACTGCAGCTTCGGCACTACTGATTTTCTTTGTTCACTACACTCCAAACGTTGAAATTGTCATACGTAATTATTTTGTTTCTCTAAAGATGTCGCTTAATGTTTCTCCACGAACAAAATCAATGTTATTCGTAGTTGATAAGTCGATCAACTATCAAGTAGTATTATAAAAATTAAGAAAATATTTTAATGTTACAATTCATTTTTTTTCAAATTTATTACAGTTAATAAATATATTGTTTGAACGATTAAAATAAATGAATAAATAGAAAAATTATGCATTAGCTAAATTGATAAATAATAATAAATTTCGATGAGAATTGTACGAAAGTTTACTCTTTTGCATTTACTCTTTACAATAAAATAAAATATCAGTTGTTTTCATCCTATTATAGAGTTTCGAGGTGCAAATGTTTTCACTCTATAAATTGAATTTTATAATTTAATGTATACAAGTTTTAAGTTGTTTTCCAATCAGTGAAGATAGATTATTTACATTTGTATACTAGCTTTATGTAGGAAAAATATTAAAAGAAAATAGATTTATCCTTGTATGTCATCTGTATAATGATGAGTCACGGGGTAGCTTATCCGTTATTTTAATTCTGATAATTTAAATTATACATACATATGTATTATTATTGAATGCTTTTGTTTTCAATTTAAATAGAAAAATCAATTTATTATTACGGTATGTTTTACTCATACAAATATTATTCTATAAAACTATAAATTGAATATAGTTACGTATATACTTATTATTAGTTGTAGTTAAGATCTTTTTTACTATTTGAAAACAATTCAATAAAATCTATATGAAACTTAAAAAAATATTGATATTTGTTTTAATAGTTTAATGTGATAAATAAGCAAATGAAGTATTATTGTATAACAATGTTTTATTAAAATGTTGATAGATAGCTTTTCGTCCTTTAGCTATAAGTACGTTTTCATTTTCTACATACAAGATTATACGTATACATATGTGTTACATATGTATTTCAATGCAATAATTTGTTTTTATAATAAATTATTTTTCTATGTAAATATAAATTTTATGCTATGTTAATGTAACTAAATTTCAAACTTCTCCAATATTAAAAGATATATGATGCGTTTTATAACGCATTTAATATAAATAAATGAACGTGAAAGAAATGATAATTTATTATGCTTTCTTAATAAAAATAGCAAGATGTTAAGTATAATCTAATATTTTTCAGCTCGAATGGGTAATTCTACCACAAAAAATAGTTATCACAATAATCAGAAATATACTAGTCAGGTATATATCATTTAAAATTATTATAACCTATATAATTTAAATACTTTTATTAATAAGACAAGTTACGTATGTGTTATTATATTTAAATTGCGAAAAATTAATGAACACTATTATAATATTTTTTTTACAGTACAGTCTTAGCGATATAATTGGTGGAACTTGCATTGGATCAACACAATCTTCGCAGAAGGAAACTAAATCATGGTCTCGTGCCTCTTGCAGGAGGTGGGTTTAGATTTTGTAACTCTTGTATATGGGATAGTTTAGATGTAATAAATATTTCATATTATAGTTGGAGCGAAGGCACATTGTACGATCCTTTAGGTACATCAAAAACATTGTGGCCTGTATCACGTTCTCAGGCTATGTTTCTTCCAGAATTTCAAATAAGACAAGTACCTTTACAAAATGCTTATACATTTTTAAGCGTAATAGCCAAAGGAGCTTATGGAACAGTATATAAAATTCAAAAACAAGATAATGGAAAACTTTTTGCTTTAAAAGTAGTTAGTAAAGCTAAAGTGGTTGCAGAAAATGGTATAATGCAAGCTAAACAAGAAGTACGTATGTTTCAAAAATTAAAGGAATATCAGCTTGTTTTGTACAGCAATTGAATTTAAATGTATATTCAATGTTAGGTATCCATACAAAAATTGGTTGGTCATCATCCATTTATACTGGATTGCTCTCACAGGTGGCAAGGAAGAAAAACATTGTACATTTGTAAGTCTATTGTTATTACATTATTACTTGTTATTAATAGTTAATTTTTCAGTATTCATTGATTTCAGTAACTAGCTATATAAGTGGTGGAGAGTTATTTTCATTAGTCGAGCAATGTGGCTCTTTGCCTGAAAATATAGTTAGAATATATGTAGCAGAAGTTGCTTTAGCTATTGGTAAATACACCTTACTTTGAGTTGATAATTGGAAGTGAAGTAGGACTTCTAATTTTTTTTGTTATTTTGTTAAAGACTTTTTGCATAACGCTGGTATAGTACATAGAGATATAAAAGCCACAAATGTTTTATTGGACGAGGAAGGTCATGCTGTAATTATTGACTTTGGTCTTGCAAAGTGGTTAAACCATACAGAAAGGACACATACACTTTGTGGAACACCAGAATATATGGGTAAGTATTGAAATATGTATAGAATATAAGAATCATATTAATTATCCATATTTTCTCATTTTGTATATATCTTTATAGCACCAGAAATATTCAATAGACAATATTATGGACAAGAAGTTGATTGGTGGTCACTGGGAGTATTAGCTTGTCTAATGCTAACAAATGCGGTATGACAGATGTATATATATTTTCATATTAGGTTAAGTTTAGATTTTATAATAAGTAATAATTGGAATCATATTCATTTAAATGGAAAAAAAAGAAAGGAAGAAAGAGAGAGAAAAAGTTATAAAGTATAATAGGAAAAAACATATCTTTAAATATAATTATAAATTTAAATTTATTAAGAAACAAAAAAATAGTTGTTAATATATGTTATATATATATTTAAAAAAAAATATATATATAAATACATTCATGAAACATTAGTACCTACGCTTATAACTAGTTTAACAAAACAGCCAGTCGTGGGACTCCGTGGCGCAACGGTAGCGCGTCTGACTCCAGATCAGAAGGTTGCGTGTTCAAATCACGTCGGGGTCAAAATCTTTATTTTTATAATTTTTTCCGATATTTAATGTATCAAATGAAATAAGTTTTATAGATTTATTATCAATGAAGTAAAAATTATTTTCAACGAGTTTTACTATTTTACTTGGTAAATTTCTCTATATGTATTGTAGATGAGCAATATTCTTAATTTTTGTGTAAATTAACATAAAAGTTTAATCACGAATGGGTTTTATTTTTTATATTTTATACATATGAAAATCTCAGTAAATATACAATATTATAGCCAATAATAATACTTTAATGAATTATAAAATAATATAATTACAGTCTCGTTATTTTAATACGAATATTATGAATCGCGTTTACGAATAGTAGATTATTTTTAGTGATAGTAATAAAAAAATATCAAGTTTTTATATGAGGAAAAAAAAGGAAAAATTAATCCGCCCCCGGGTGGGCTCGAACCACCAACCTTTCGGTTAACAGCCGAACGCGCTAGCCGATTGCGCCACGGAGGCAGTTGACTGTGTAGTACTTTTCAGCTGTTTTCTACTCATTTTCTACGCCTTTAACATTTATTTCGTTGCATGTTTTTATTCTACAATTTTCATTATTTTTAACATTATTTTTGTCTGCATGTTCAGTAGCATTCTCTACAAAGAAAATTGTTTTCAATTTTTTGTATGTTCTATTTGTTCACATATCGTGAATCTTAGAAACCAAATTTCTCTTTACCTGTATTTACTCTTTTTTAAATATCGCATTGTATTTATTCTCGTTGTTAATCATTTTTTTCTCACTCCTTCAAGATGGAAAGCCATAATTATTTATTTAGGAACATCTATAAGCTATATTACCGAGCAGAGATTTTTTCCACTACAGTTTCCGTGCAACCTTTCTATTACAGGACTTTGTACTGCCACCAGCAACAGTTATTAAAAAATCCATTTGAAAACAATACGCCACGTTCGAAATTCATAATTTATTACACAGTAGGTTATCAATTTCCGTTCATCGTAACTCGGATAATACGAAAATCACAGTGATTCGTGAAACAATATTGTCTATAATTACAATTACGGATGAAGTATCATCTACGATTCATCGTACAACACTGCCATATGGAGACCTATGGAAACCTAAACATATTTACCTACGTACATCTAACATTGAGCATATGTTGGTACCTTTCTATTCGTTACCCCGTCGAATATTTCAAGCGTGCACCTATCTCGCTGTATCAATGGAACATCTAGACGATCTAGGCTAGATCTCGACGTTCGTTCCAGACAAAGATACGATTATTTTCCCCGTGAACCGTGTCTCGAGCCGCTTTTCGTTCTTGCGTAAAAGCATGCAACTGGAATCGAAGAAAGCCAGCAAGCGTATCTCTCCGACTCGTTGCAAAATCGCTCGTGCCTTGACATTTTCGCCGGGTCCACTCACCTCGCGTATCCTCACTGTTTACAAAGCGTGCTGTCGGGCATGCTAACTTTTCATACGGCCTTTTGATGAATCGATGCACCTCGTCACGGAGAAATGTCGTCGTGCCTGGCACAGTCACGAGATCGTTCGCTGGCCATCACAGGGGCAATCACGCGAATTCTATTCTTCTGCGAAAGCATTATCTACGAACACCTAACGATAACGAACACCTGGTCATTTCTCGCAAGCGGATCACGACGAAAATCCGCTTGAGTCTGCGTTTACGATTTCGTTCGAGACCTCCATTCCGCCGTGTAGGCTTCTCGTTAACGGAGATTCGACAGGTATGAATGGAACGTGAAAGTTTGCGTTTCGGTAGGCGCGATTACCCGAGTCATTCGTTAGCGTGTGGTAACGAGCGTGGATTACGTCGAAGCCTAGGATCGTCGACGCGATGTACCGAGGGAACGAAAATATTTCTACGCTCGACAACCAATCGTGGTAATTATCCGTGTAAGCGCGTCTCGTGTGCTCGAGGAAGGAAGTTACGCGTATCGAGTGGTGCGTTTCTCAACGTTGCCTAACTCGCGTATGATGGACGAGCGAGCTATGGGATAGGGAATGAATGGGAACGAATATTCTCGCGAATGTCAGCTCGTTCTTGATCTTGTTCCTATTTAAACGAGATGGGAGAGGAAAAGGGCACGATCGATGTCGAATTCGCGTATCGTCATGGGGAACGCGGACGCAGATGTGGGGGCGGGGGGGGGGGGGGGGGAGAAGTGAAAAAAATAAAAGACAGAGTCGAGCTACACACTAGTTTTATTGGGATGAGGTTGTGGTTGTGGTTCGTGTGTGGTTTTTTGAGAGAAAAAAAAAAAATAAAGAGAAAGAGACTTGGGGGGATTTGGGATGAGGATACTAAAATATCAGGGGCCGATTTCGTCCTCGCGGACAGATCGCGGTGTCCGCCAGGACGAAGAAGAGGATGATCCCTGGCGTGTGCCAAGTCAGATCCAGAAGGGTGGCCACGTGTTCCCTGATAGGTGTTTCCCGTTTATGTTCTTCGATCAAACCTTCATCGATCGTCTTCGTCGTCGTCGTCATCTTCGTCGTCTTCTTCTTCTTCTTCTTCTTCTTCTTCTTCTTCTTCTTCTTCTACTTCTTCTTCTTTACGATCGTCAATCTTCGTCGCTAGCATCATCGTCGTGTTCGCCGTCGTTATCGTCGCTGTTATACCTCGTATTCTCAGGATCTTGTTGCCGACGTGTTCTTCTAAGTCTATCCCTCACAGCCAGGTTGCCACGTGGTCATCCTGCCCCGAGTCGATGAATTTCTCTCGGAATCGTAGCGCGCCGGGGGAAGTTTTGGACCCTGCCACAGAATTGATCGCGCAATCTCTCTCTCCCATTCACACCGACATACACTCTCACTCCGTCTCGTTCTCTCTCTCCCGCTTCCGTTCATACTTCCTCTGACGTACACGCTCTCCCGCTCGCTTTCCTCTATCCGGGCCGAACAACTCGCGCATACTTGTTCATCTTTTCTTCTCCATATTTTTTTTCTCTGCTGTTTTTCCCTCTTTTTAAACGTTTTTTCTCATTTTGATCCGGTCGATGGTGATGAACGCAATGGTCGACTGGACGAGTGGCGAGCCAGTATCCGCACCGCTGGATGTTCGCTGATGTTTCGGGGCTGTCGTTCTTCGTTCGTCTTCCCGCCTCCCGCTGCGACCGTTAATTAAGATCGTTCAATTACACGATCAGCTCTTGCGGCTTCGGCAAAATTTCCGGTTTCAACTCCTCGGCTGGTTTCGGCTCCATCTCCTCGCCGAGCTTGAATTCCTCGCTGTACTCCTCGTCCAAGCGTTTCTTCGCTTCGTTCGCGGGCTCCTGCTGCTTCTGTGGCTCCTCCTTCTTAGCCTCGACCTGCTCGGACTTTGCCTGTGGCTGCTGAGCTTCCGCGGTTTCGCGTTTGGCCTGGCTAGATTCGGCGGCCTTGGCCGCTTGTTCCGATGTCTCTTGTTGAGCGTTGCTGGAAGCAGCGGTGGCGGCTACCTCGGCGCTCTTGGCTTCCTTCTCGGGTTGGGCGGTGGTTTCGAGCTTCTCCTCGCTCTTGGAGGACTCCTCGGAGCTGGCGGCGGGTTCCTCAGCGGCCAGTTGGATCTTCTCGCTCTTCAGCGCCGGCTTCTCCTCTTCCGCTGCTTTCGGCTGCTCCTGTTGGCTCTTCTCAGCCTCGGCTGGGACGGCTGGTTTCTCTGCTGGCTGTTCGGCTTTCTTGGCTGCTGGAGCGGCTTCCTCCGCGTCACGGGTCACACGGTCTGGCCAGTTTGCTAGTCTTTCTTCCTGTCGTTTCGCCAGTCTCTCTTCGCGCACTTTCGCCATTCTTTCCTCGTGTCGTTTCGACAATCTCTTGAACATACTTTCGTCCAAGCTGTCGGAGGACGAGGACTCGGACTCGTCCTTCCTCACGCTCCGTTCAGCTTCGTCCGTTTTCTTCTCGTCCTTGGACTCCTCCTCCGAAGCCTCTGAGCTCTTCTCCGTGGAGTCGCTCTGCTCGGAGCTCTTGCCCTCTACGACTGCGACCTTCTGCAAGGTAAACCGGGATTGACAGTGAGAAATTACGAAACGCAAACGACGATAGGCTAACGTGGAAATGGAATATCGCGTTCCTCGAATAAACTTACGGCAACGGGCTGCTCTGCTGGGACCTCGGCTGCCTCCTGTTTCTGCTCCTGTGGAGCAGCTTGCACCGTCTCGTGGGATTCGGAAGCCGCCAGTTTCAGGCTTTCTTCCTCTTTCTTCGCCGCCGGAGCCGGTTCCTGTTTCGGCTCTTGCGCAGGCTGCTGAGACTCCGCCGGTTGCTGTTGTTGCGGTTGCTGTTGCTCGAGCTTCTTCTCCGGGGAGGAAGCTTCTTCCTTCTTCTCTTCGGGATTCGCTGGCTGAGCTTCCTCTTTCTTCTCCTCGGCCTTTGCCGGTGTCTGAGGGTTCTCCGCCGCGGGCTCGCTCCTCACGCTGGGTTTCTCAGCCTCGACCGATTTCGCCTCGGCTGGCCCACGCTCTGCCGCCCCTAGAGTCGGTGCGGGTGCTTCCTCTGGGGCCGATGGGACCTCGGGTTTGTTCGGACTCGACAGTGGTACTACCTGCAGCGGCTCCTGGTTCTCGGCCACGGGCATTGCGAGCACTGCCTTCAGGCCCACCAGGCACAGCATCGCTATTACGAGTAACTTCGTCATCTTGATATCTGTAACAGCCAGTACAGGCTCGTAAATTACTCCGCTGATAAATCACTCGCCGGCTGGAAAGGTGAACCACTATCGGAATATGGAATGTCGAAGAAAGAGAAGGCCGATATCGCGGATAAGATCGGAAGCGAGTTGACCACGATTGAAATTCGTCACGAGACAGAAAGTGGCAGAGGAATGACGTTACGCGAGCGGATTCCAGCGGAGGAGCGCCGAGAGAGGAAACGAGGGACGTTTCTCGCAATCTTCCAGTTAGGGGAGCGGACGTGAGTACACGAGCTCCTCTTTCGTACTTGGCATGAATGGAGAACGCGGCCGCATGAATGGACCGCCGATAGACGCGCGAGACGAAAAGCAGGCTGCGCGTCAGAATGTGACACAGAGAGAGATAAAAGAGAGAGAGAGAGAGAGAGAGAGAGAGAGAGAATGAAAGGATGGACAAGGGGCTGCTAGAGGAGCCGGCAGGAAGGAGAGGGACGGAGGTGACATTGAACCGAATGCATTGAACAAGGCGAGCGTTATGGAACTAATGACAGGATGCGTGCCCCTCGCGTTCGTTACGCGCGCGTTCGCGCGACTTCTCCGCTCGATCGCGCCTCTTTCTTCCATCCACGCTTCTCTCTTTTCTTCCTTCAACATCCACGTACAACAGGTGTGGCGTGCTCGCAAATCTCCGAAATTCCTCTCGAATTTTCGAAATTTCGCGTATTCATCGGACGAAAATGGCACGAGAATATGGAGGATTTTTGCAGTGCCAGATGTGAAATCGAAATTGGGTTGCTCGAAAGCTGTTGCGAAATTTACCCGCGGCGTGGAATGAAACATGGCGGAAAGGACGTTGCGTGCACCGGGAACGGAAAGCGAAACATGGGTGGAACTTCCGCAACAGGTGGAAACGGATGGAGAGAGGACATGGCGCGCTGGAAATCGAGTGGTTGCGACGATCAAGATATTCCATGGAAAACAGAACGTACTGTCCGTTGTATCGCGAACGGTGTAGGTAACACCGACGCGTGTACCCGTATCGCCATAATCGGACCCGTTCCGAGTCTAATTATAACGTCGACTGTTATTACGAAGTTCATCGTCTTGTAAATCGATTCCGTTGCGCACATCGGTATCGTATGCTCGTTACGAGGCCTATGCCTGGGCTCCTAGCTGCGAATACTCGGCAATGGTTTCACAGACGTGAAACCAGAGACAATCGCGACGGTGTCGCGTGGACGCGATTTATCCCGCGAGCATTAGCGATCGAGCGAAACGCAAAACGCTGACGAAATTGCAAACGCGGCTCGAACTGGTTGGCGAGCGGTGGCACGGGGATAAAAGTCGAGCACGATGGCATTCTTTCGATTTCACGCCAGCCTCGAGCGACCTTCCGTTCGGAGGCTCGAGCTTGCGGCCAATCAAGCGGGTAATTTATACGGAGAGGAAGCTGTTCCCGTTGCGTACAGCCAGAATCGCGCTCTCGGTTCGCGAACGTTCCGTATCTCGAAAATCTGCCGCAGCCTGCCGAACAATGGCCTGGCCATTTTCTATCCCGCGTTCGTGGAACGACGAGAATCGCGCGAGAGGAGATGAGAGCGGCTGGCTAGCGAAGGAAGGAGTGACAGCGCGTTATCTGAAACGGCACGCCTTCTGGAGAACGCAAGCAACGTGGAATGTCCGTGGAGAAGGTGAACGCGCAAAGCCGGAGAGGGAAAAGCGCGAGGAACGAGGGGATTAAAGAGGGAAAAACTGGGCGACGGCGTGATCGAGCGAGGAAAGAGGCGGCTGAACGGTCCAGTTTTTACCATGGCCTACCGCGCCAACTTCGCGTTCGCCAATTGGCCACCGGGCTGTAGGTGAACCGTTCCCGTTGCTGTTACGTTCATGCTAGCTCGTAACCAAGTTACGAGCGATTGGCATCGTTGAAACTTTGTCTGAAAACCGTTCTCGTTGCGTATCGAATTCGCGCTCCAGAGGTCTCTCCGTCTATCTGGAGCTCTAGGTTATTGAACGCGACACCTGAGCATCTACTCGCTGCGAGAGCACCGCGAAGGTGAACGTTCAAGCGAGTGGCGAAGAAGACGAGAAGCGAAATTAAGGGACAAGTATACATTAGCGGAGTCGCATAATCGACATTAATAACAATCGTCCAGGCCTGATCGTGTTGCAAGCGGACGTAATGGGCCGCAATAAAGTTAATTGCAAATTACTTTGCGAGTCACGAACGTGGAGGTAACGTTCGCGTGTGCGTTTTCAACGACCCGTCCGACGTTTCCAACGATCGAGACGGTTCGATTATGCGTTGGAGAGCGTGTGTGCCGCAGGGGGCGGCGGGGGGCAGGCGGGAGGGGGCAAGGGAAACGGAGGATACGCAGAGCCGCAAGGAGATTAAAGTCACGATCCCGCGAGGGATGCAAACACGACGAGAGGAAATGCCTGTGAAAGATGATGGACACCCATTACCTTATCAAGATCATCAGAGATGTAATAATGGTACCACGCTTACAAAAGAAGACGCGGTCCATTGAAGTGGTTCACCGCTTCAATGCTTTCTGCCCTTCTCTCTCTTTCTCTGGTCCACTCTATTCTACGCAACGCGGCATTTATTATCGACTCTATCCTTTTCGCGATTGTCGATCTAATCTGCGCACATTGAATCTCAACTGGACGGAGAATGCGTCGCAGTTAACGCGATCGCGCAGAAGAATGCCGGTTGTTGCTCTAATCGGCTATGAAAGACGAGTTCCGCCGCCGTTTCACAGTTGCCTTTTCAACTACGATTTTAAATTCGGTTCCGTTCCAATTCCTTCCTCGACGAATACTTCCCAATCTTTCTTCGAATTTGCCGAAAAACCATCTGTATCGGATTAGACTCGAGACTCTTAGATCACGCCAGACCCCCCGATTCTTCACGATTTCTCAGCCTCTACGGTTATCCCGAAGGATTTTACCTCGGGGAGTAAAATTTCGAAGAAAATTCGAAAAGTTAATTCGGTTTTCTATTTCTCGACCGTTTGCGAGAAAGATATCGATATTCGAAGGATCTTTGAAAGGAAAAATGTCCACGCCTTCGAGTGCTCGGTTGAATCGCGGAGGCTCGTGAGAAGAAGGCGAGAGCTGGTTCCAAGAGAAGATCCCTGGCAAATTAGAGGATCCTCGGTTGGCTTGTTCGCGCCTCGTGTGTCGCAGCCTCGCTGACTCGCAGATTAAGGAGATTAGCGACGAGTTAATTAGCCGGCGGGGAAGTCTTGGCGGGTATAGAGGGGGGGGGGGGGGGGGGGGGGAGGGGGGGGCGGAGAGGACGGAAAAAGGGTACGAGAGGTTGCGAGAGGAGGACAGAAATTACGCAAACGCCGCGGTCATTCGTTGAGAAATCTACGCAAATTGTATGTTCCGACGATTATTCCATTTAGCGTTTTCCTCGCTTTAATCACCGCCGCGGCTACGAAGACAGCCATTTCGCGATCGGCATGGCCTCCACCTGTGTTTCCCGCGATCGTTCACATCCCGATTCTTTTCCCCGAATCCGAACAGGAGACTCTCCCGAACAGATTCTCCATGCATATCTCAATCGAATCCGTCCCAATGAAATTTCTACGATTTTTCAATCTTCGAATCGAAACGACACGCGCGACGACGTCCGCGACCATAACCCCGTGAAAATTCGAGGCCGAGGATCGATCCCGATGAAAAGCTGTTCGAGACTAGAGTGACCGGAAGCGAGTGGAGGAAATATCGATACGCGAACGTGTGCGTGTACAAAGACACGAATGTCGGTAAAATATTCTACTCACGTCTTTTTCTCTCCTCCGTGGAACTGGTCTCAGCGGCGGCTGGTCGTCGACTCGCGATGTGTCCGTCAGACTCTTCCTAGATGATCCTTCTCCGGCCAGGGGATTACTCTCACCGATTAAACTGTCGCTCAACGGTGAGACCGGTTTATGAGAAGAAAACTGTGTACCGTGTGTGCTCTCAGTTGCACGATTGGCGCGGAGCGAGAAAACTCCGGGCTGAACTAGGCAGAGGACAAAAGAGAGTCGGAAGAGATACCCGTGTGTAGTTACCCTCCTCTCTCTCTTTTTTTTTCGCGCGCGTGCGATTACGCTCGTTCGCTCGAGGGAACCGTCGGTGATATCGGGATGAAGGTTGGGTCGTGTGTCGAGATGGAATCGTCGGGGCCCCGCTTATATACCCATTTACCCACCAGCCGCACCACGGCCAGGATCGTATAGGGGGCCCCGACCCTCTTCACCCGGCATCGTTCAGGGGCCCCTCTTTTACTCTTCTCTTCTCTTCTCTCTTCCGTCGTTCTTCTTTCCACCACCTCTGCACACCTCCCCGTCGCCCTTCCCCCCTCTCCGACCTTCGCAACCGTCTCTCTCTTCGCTCCATCAGCAGTGATTCCCTGCGTTCGCGTTTTCCTTCTTCCTCCCTTGGACCGCGATCACCGGGACGTGTGTGCCGGCCGTGTTCCTCTCTACGACGACCCACGCCGTCTACGAGCAGGAGCAAAACGAACCGGGGGCTGCGATTCTCGCGAGAGATTTTCAAGTATCGAATCGGATAGGTGGCGAGTGCTCGGGACCCGCTGTGACATGTACCGAGATGGAACCTGTGCACCGCGTTCGTCCATGGCTCCGGCGGCTCTAGGGTCTATCTAGCCGACAGGCAGACCCTTGGATAAGTCAGCTTGGGATAAGTCGGTCTCGCTGCTAGGATACGTTCCACGTGGACCACAGTCGGGATCGCTGGGTAGAGCTTCGATGGACGATGATACGAGGACCGATCGGTCGATGAGGTTAGGGGTCAGAAGTTTCGGAAGGTTGGCGAGGATGTTCGACTGGTTTGGCTGACGGTGATCGGTTAATCGGAGAGGAAGGTTCGAGGAACATCCTCCAGTCGGGCTGGGTGCGTGTGCTGTTGCCTGGAGCCGGCGAGTGGGCGAAACGTGTTAACTCGTCTTTTGTGAGATACGTTCGCGGAGTGAACGTTCCGTTCTACCTATCGGGCCACGTTTCGTCGCGAGGTCCACGATGTTTTCGGGTCGCTCAGCTTGCTCGAGAGATTTTACAAATTTCTCAACCCGCGATGAAAGAATTTCTATAAGTATCCCACTTCTCTTAGAATCCGAGTCGATCCCGTACTTTGCAATTTTTACGCAGAGACCACGTTGCAAAGTATATCGACAAACTTGGCAGCGGATAGAATTTTGGTACTTTGGCAATTTTATATCGAGACGAAAAATTAGAATTTTCTCTGCAGTTCGTTGTCAATTTATTTATCGTTCATTTTAGTCCCGTTTAACGATTTAGTCCTGGATTTTCGTACGAACAGCGAGGATTAATCTTCGTCTTCCTCCTAATCCGTCTGGAAAGTGATCGATCTCTGTCGACGCGTTTATGGAAACGTTTGATATCAGCGATTCGAATTTCACCTGTTGACACTCGACACGGTGTATCGTGACGCACCTGCGCGTTCAGCGAGTTCATTTTTCCATTGTGCGGACAGTTCGTTCAGCATGATTCAGTATCGACCGGAAGTGTAGCGGTAGCGCGGTGCGAGCTCTTGATAAACGTGAAAAAGACCTTGATGTTTGACCGCGATGAGAGAGGCGATGGAAATATTAGGACACGTTGATTAGGCTCGTAGAATGACCATCCTTTGCGCCTCGTTGCGCGTGTTTCGTCATGAATGCGTGATTTTATGTTTTAAAATTTCAAATATTCTCAAATTTTATATTTTACCGATAAATTCTTCCAAGCTAGGCATAATATTTGGCTATTGACTGTCGACTATTGCGATATACAGGGTGTTAAGAAAGTAGCATCGTGATTTATCATTTATGGATAAATTTTTGTTACTGGCTTCTTATTATCGTAATTATTATTCGTTACGAGCGAGTAAATTAGGTTCATTGCGTGCTTCCATTCCGTGAAACATCTGTTATTTCTATCATCGAGTAGCATGAGCTATGAAGGTCTTAAATTTTATAGATCGAAGATCATTTATGCTCAGTTTGTGACACGCTCTGAATAATTATGTAACACCGATGTGATATTTCTGCTCGATACATTCTTCTGACTCGTTACTTACTAATAGGATGCTTATGACACATAAGTCACTCGTTATATCGAGAACGACATATTAATTCATATAACATCGATTGATATATTTTCAGAATAAACGTAGCTTTTTCCTTACATAGAACGTATCTAATAATATTCTTCCTGCTTCGATATTTTTTTTTTTAAATGGAATAAAAATTTATCTTCCATTAAAAACTCCAATTTTTTAACTTTCGACCTTCAAATCTGCGCTCCAAACCAATTAACGACTACTACTATCGATTTGCAATCCGTATCTAACATGTCGTATACGTAAACAATGATAATTAAATTCATAGGACGAAAAGCAAGATATATGCATATAATTACAGTTTCTACGCGAAGAAAGGTCAATATTGATTCTTTCGAAACTATCTTTTCAGTTAAGTGTACAATAAAAGTTACATTTGAGCCTGGAAGCAGACATCTAAACAGGTTTGCTAGTTCTGATACGGTATTCATCAGCGAACGTTGGGATAAAGAGTCAGGTCTGAGAACTCTCATCGACGTTCATCGCGAAGACAGGATAAAGGATGACATCGTGGTGAAAAATGTCCCTTCTGGTGCATCGTAAAAATGGGAACCTTTGTACTCCTCGTTATGCACGCGAGCCTTTCAGCATTCTTTCGCTCGTTACATAAAGTCCCCGTTCTTATTATCCTTAGACGACAGAATCATCGTTGACTGAACGTGTGGCAGGCTAAGGAGAGCACGTTTCGTCTCTCGAACCCACGAAATTTCCCAGTATACACGGATTTCGCGTGTTTTTCTCTTATTCACCAGCGAGGATGCTCATCTCAATGAGTGCAAACGAATCGTCTCGCACGTGTCCGACATATCCAAGTGGCCGAAAGACGCGAGTTTCGTGAGGCTCGTCGGTGGACGACGGAAGTACGAGCTGAATTTGTAACAGACCTTAACTAATTCTAATTTGGCCAAGTTGGCGTCAGGTTCGTGAATGGTCCCGAAGACGTTTAAAAGGGTTCGTCGCTCTTCGTCGAGGAGACACAGGCGTCAAGTCTGGTCAATCTTGTGTCAATCTCGCGTGGGAATATTGGTTTTAGATTGGAAAATAAGACTGTGATTGCAGTGAACGCGATTTTCGATGAATTCACGTTTCGATGAATAAATTCGACGATTACTAGGATTATTGGATTGAGTTTTGAGCAGTTAAGAAATATTATGAATCGTTACCAATTGGGCTCGAGTTACGAATTATTAAAAATTATAAATTTCCGCGAATTTATTTAGATTAGAAATTATTGAAGATTATTAATTATTTACTAAATTAAATTATTATTAAGAAAGGTTACGAATTGTTACCAGTTGCGTTGGATTACGAGGTATCAAAATTATAATTATTGCGAATTGGGTTGGATTGCAAATTATTCAGAATTGAAAGTTATCACGAATTGCTTTGGATCAGGAATTATTAAAAATTATTGTAAAAAGGTTACGAATTGTTACGAGTTGGGTTGTATTAAGAATTATTCAGAATTTCAAATTACCGCGAATTGGTTTGAATTAGGAATTATTAAAAATTATTATAAAAAGGTTACGAATTGTTACAAGTTGCATTGGGTTACGAGGTATTAAAATTATGAATTATTACGAATTGGATTGTATTAAAAATGATTAAGAATTGCAAATTATCAGGGATTGGTTTGGAATAGGAACTATTAAAAATTATTATAAAAAGGTTACGAATTGTTACAAGTTGCATTGGGTTACGAGGTATTGAAATTATGAATTATTACGAATTGGATTGTATTAAAAATTATTAAGAATTGCAAATTATCAGGGATTGGTTTGGAATAGGAACTATTAAAAATTACTATAAAAAGGTTACGAATCGTTACGATTTGCGTATATTACGAAGTATCAAAATTATAAATTATTACAAATAGGGTTGGATTACGAATAATTCAGAATTATTACGAATTGGTTTAGGTTAGGAATTATTAAAAATTATTACAAATTATCGCGAATCGAGTTGAATCAGGAATCATTGAAAATTATTGTAAATCGTTACGAATTGTTACGAGTTGCGTTGTATTAAGTATAAAAATTACGAATTATTACAAATCGGGTTGGCTTAAGAATTATTAAAAGCGAATTGGTTATTGAGCAAATATAATAGGCGATGGTTGCGCAAGACACATATTTTTATAGGTTCACTACACAGAGAAATTGCGTTTGTACAGTTGTTCACACAATCGATCGCGTGATCAATGAATTTTAATGAGACACCAACCACGATACAAGGAAGAATGAAACCTGCGTAGTATTTCTATTTTATTTCAATATATCCATAAGAAATCACATCCAGTGTAACCATAGATCAAAAATGAATAGGTTCGATCGGTGGTTTCGTTTTACTCGACCATGGTGGTGATTTTCGCAAGAGTAAACTCGTTTCGTAATTTTAGTGTACTGTTAGGATCGACAGGGGAGATTAAGTCGAGGTGTCTAGAATTTAAGATAGCTCGCGCGCGAGAGAGATTTTCCACGATAATATCTAATGAGTCATTACAGAGACGTATCGCCATGGGAATTCGTGAAATGTTACGAACATTTTTTTCTATTAGAATACTCATTGTCTGGCTTCTCGGAATAATTTGTCGATATTTTTAAGCCGCTGTTCGCCAAGAACCATTTCGTTGCACAAGCTGGTAAACTGATTGCGAGCGGAAAATGATTTATAGTATAACCTTCGCGAAAAATACCAGCTCGGAGAGAACTTTTTCCTCGGTTTATCTTCCCAGTGTCTCGAATGGCGATTCGTGAATTTCGAATTTTTCCCATCGAGGAAAGATAGCCAAAAATATCGAAATATTTAACGCATAAATCGAAACCACTCGTGACTCGATAAATTTTCGTTAATCCCCTTCCATCCAAATCTCTCTATACGCCTCGCATAATCGGATATTAAATTAGATTTATTTATTTCAGCTTGTAATACCAGGAAATGGACTCGGATTTACATTAAGTATATCTCGTCTGTCTCATTCATCAATCATGTCGTTCATAGAACGCATATATAA